AGCTCCTGTAGGACCGGGCAGAACTGAGAAACTTCCATCCACACATCTGAAATTCTATTAACCTTGGGGACTGTGCTTGCATTTAACAAACTTGGCATCAGTAGCACAAGGCGTTTGAGGCACTCTAGGAGCACAGCAGACCTCATGAGGAAGAAGCTGGTGAGGACAGTCAAGCTCTGGCCTGTCCCTAGGGACTGGCTGGCCTTTCTAGAGCAGAGCAAAGGTCAAGAATAAGAGAGTGACCTGCCCATCATTTCATGTCCTGTAAAGGCATGGACGTTTCTCAGACCATGTAAGCAGTTCCTGTGACTGCCAAGGAGCACTAGGACCACCAGAACTATGTGGAGGAGGGACCCTTCAGCCTCTATGATCCTTTCTGAATCACAAAGTTGGACGTACCTCTCCACCTGCCTCCCTGAGGATTGTCTAGTCCTACCTGAGCCTGGGCATTCCAGCTCTGAGTGGGCTAGCTCAGGTGAGGGTTCTAGACAAGCCACAGGAGCAGGCACAGCTGGGGAGTACGACAGGAAGCCAAGGAGGCAGAACCCTACTCACCCCTTGAGGCTTCTTGCCGCTGTATAGAAGATCCGGATGGACTTGATTTCCCCCTTCCCTTCATCAACAATGTAGAAATAGGTGCCGATATTATTGCCCAGTACATCTGGGGAAAGTGAGGCAAAAAACACTCAGGGCCACTCTCTCACTCGAGCCCCTTATGCATAGGACAGGACACAGGAGGTGAAGGCCACAAAGGAGGCTCAGGTACTCACTCTGGGCTCCGCAGGTGGCACCAACAAGGAGAGCCAAGGTCAGCAACAGCAGCATGGCTCCTGAGGGTTTGGGGCACAAGACTTCAAAAAGGCTCTGAGGAAAAGACACCAGAATTGGGATAACAACACACCAGATTGGGACAAGGAATCATTTGGGAACCCTCTTTTTCCACAGTCACTGAAGGCTTCAGAATGATCCTGGGATGGTTTCACCCACATGCCCACACTGCAACCCCCCCAATGTCAGGGTGCTTCCATTCCAACTCAGCTCTTAGCAAGAGATCCCATGATGTCATATCACACTGGGCTCCCCAAAGTCTAAAGCTACTCCTAATGAATCCCCATACTGCAAACCCCTCCATCTGTCCCTCATGGTTCAGTCTCTATCTGGTTCAAAACATCCTCTGTTTCCCCTCTGGCCTCTCCTGCTCCACCTCCTTCCTTACCTGTGCTGTGTGGTCTGAGCCCCTTGGGTCGTTCCTTTATACCCTGACACCACTTAACTATAGTACCTGTGGGACCTCCACAGTCCCGCCCTTGGCAGGGTTTCCTGCAAGAATATGGTATATATCCGGGACATCCTGGGACTCTATTTGTGTTCCTCATCTCTGCTTTTGAACAAATGAACCTCACAGTCCATGCTGTCCTCTGCAATCCTGTTGAATTCCACTAGGCCACAGAGGTTTCAGAACTGAAAGAGGGAGAATGTGGTCACACTGTTGATTTCTATAAATCCAGACCAAGCAGGTTCCTACAGTCAAGAAATATGATTGTCCCCAGTACATGAGATGTGCAGAGTCCTGTGCATGTGTGAGGGGAAATCAGATGCATCCTGCTCATGGCTTGTCAGGGAAAAAGTGTCCAGGTCTGTACAGGCAGAATATGCCACATAGGTCCCACCTCCCTTCCTTTTATGGCTTGTTACCTGAGATCTTTCAGAGTTTTTACTTAAAACACCTGTGTCATCATGTCCCTTCCAGACACTGCTCATAGCAGCTCCCACCAACTGAGCAGACAGAGTTCTCAACATAGCCCTCAGTCCTCCAGGCAGTCCTGAGGCTGGCCTCACAACAATTCCCATTTTATAACCCAAGAAAAGCATGTACCAAGTGGTTTAGCCCTGGTGTGTCAGCCTCTCCTTCGGACCCACAGATTCTTTCTGCCTCCACCCCTCTGGGACACATGCCTATCCTCTAGTTCCCAGGAAGTCTGGTCCAGATGGACAGTTGTATCAGGTGGCCAACTCTACCCTAGCACTCATCCTTGCTTGAATCTTTTGCAGAGTCTGTCCAGATCACAGTTTCCCATCTGGGGCCTCTTCCCCTTTCACCCCGAGGAGGCAGCAGCCACATTGAGACCCCTCTGCTCAGGCAAATTGACCAGAGATGGACCTTGACCTCAGTGGGCGTTTTCTGGGACCAGCAAGACAGAACCTACTCTACTGGTGTTGTCCAGTGGGAGTTGGAGGTCCCTGGCAGCTGTTGTACTAAGCAAAGAGGAGAAGTCCCCTCTCCACATCTTCTAGACTATTCTTAACCCCAGGTTTGTTGTTCTGACATGCTAAGTTGCATCCCAAATCGGCCAGCCACCAAGGAAATGTAGAAAGGATAGCCAATTCAATTTGAGTTTTAGATAACCAATGCATAATATTTTTGTGGAAGTATAACCCAAGCATTTACCTATTTATTTACTTGTTGCACATTGTTTATTGAACGGGGTGTACCTTGTGCCATGGCATGCCTGCATAGGTCAGAGAACAGTTTGTTAAGTCAGTTCTCTCTTTCCCTTGGGTAAGCTCAGGGACCAACCTCAGACTGCCAAGCCTGGCAGCAAGACCCTTACCTGCAGAGCCACTCCAGGCCATCAACTACTTATTTTGAAGTTCAGAGAGTTGAATGGAGCCTGACATAGGTTATTTGTCTGTCTGTCTGTCTTTCAAACTGTCTTTCATTGTCTTTCAGTCTATCTATCTATCTATCTATCTATCTATCTATCTATCTATCTATCTATCTATCTATCTATCTATCTATCTATCATCTATCTATCTACCTACCTATCTATGTACCTACTTAACTTGTTTTTAAAACAGGATCTCACAGATTGAGGTTAAACAGATTGGCCTTGAACTTCTTCATGGTGGAAACCTTCCTGCCTCAGACTCCTGAGGGCTGACATTATGGGCATGAGCCTCCATGCCAGGCTCAACCCACTTTTGGCTTTATATTTTGAGAAAAGAGTACCACTAGGTTGTCCAAGTTGACCTTGATGTGACTCTGTAACCAGATTCGTCTGGATTTGTGATCCTCCTGTGCCAACCTCCTGGGATTACAGGACTGCACCACACACCAGGCTCCAAACATTTCATTTTAAAGTATAACTATAGCTGAGTGTGGTGTTGCCTGCCTGTAATCTCCAGCAGTTGTGAGGACGAAAAGGAACAATCCAGGCTGAAGGCTAGCCTGGGATACATAGTGAGATCCTGTAGACATAGCACAAAATTAAAATATGCCTCTGTTGTCATTACTGAAGTGTGTGTATGCATGCATGCTTTCGAGCATGTTTGGGAGCATCTGCATGCTACATATGCATATCACTATGCAGAGGTCAGAGCAGGACACAGAGTTTCTTCTTTTATCTCTGTCTACCTTAGTGCCTGGTGACATGTCTCTCACTGGCCTTCCAGTTTTTCCCCTTGGCTGGCCGGCTGGCCGGATGGCCAAAGGGCTCTTGCTATCCTTCTGTCTCTTTGACTACCATGTCCCATGCTGAGGGTGTAGACACTCATAGCCATTCAGGAATTTTTTTAACCTGAGTACTGGGTGTCCCAACTCAGGTCCTCGGGATTGTGGAGGAAGTGCTCTTACTCATGGGGCCTTCTTACCAGCTCCCCAACCTTGTTCTTTGAGGCAGGGTCACTGAACCTGATGCTTTGTATTTGAGCTAGAATTATGTGGGTGCCGGGAATCCAAACTTGGGACCAGACACTGCCAAACAAGCATGTTTACTCACTGAACTATCTCCTCAGTACCCCAATATTCAGATTTTAAAGGATAAGGATATGCTAAACACTGTACATGCAAGATACCTTTCAAGAGTGCTCATTGTTTGTCTGCAATTTGACTAACCTGGGGGACTGTGCTTGTACTTGCCAAACTTGGCAATACTAACCCAAAATCCCAAAATCCTTAGGGTGCTGTAGGAGAAAGGCAGAGCCCTAGAAGTAGACACTAATGAGGACAGTCAAAATCTGGCCTGTCCCAAGAGACTGGTTGGCCTTCTGGAGCAGAGCAAAGGTCCAAAGAAGGGGTCTGCATGCCTGGGGTCTGCAAAGCTCTCAGCTCACATGAGCAGTTTCTGTCACTACCAAGAAGCCCTAAGGCCACCAGACTTAACTGGAAGAGAAACCTTCCAGCTTCTATGATCACTTCTGATCCCGAAGTCCCTCCCCATGTCCCTCACTGATGAGGGGTTGTAGCCCTTCCCAAGCCTGGGCATTCCAACCCTGAGTGGGTTAGCTCAGACCAAAGTGAAGAGCAATAGACATAGGTGAGGAAAATCAGTGAATCTGCTAAGTAGATAAGCCACAGGAGGTGGGCACAGCCAGGGCATGCTAAGACAGCCCAGGAGCCTTAACCCTCCTCACCCCTGATGATGTCCTGGATTTCCACCCTGCTCGAATCTCTGATTGCCTTGTGTCTCTGAAGAATGGGAGACAAAATGGAAGGCATTGAGAGAGAGCTCAGAGCTAATTCCTTAACTCCAGACTTGACCAGGTAGCTGTGTGGAGGCCTGTGGATTGTGGAGACAATGAAAAAGTTAGAACAGAGTCGAGGGAATGGCCAGTCAATGCCGGACAGTGCCTGAGTTTATTTCACAGGCAGTTTATATGTAAACTTGAAGGGCAGAAGTAGAACAGTGCATAGCACAGGAATTCAACCATGTCGACCCTGTCCTTGGGTCAAGGAGCAGGCCATTTCATTTTCTATCTTGATGTACCTCCCAGCTGGATGTCAGAAGCCTGAGGTCAGCAGCAGCCTGTGTCTAACTAGACCGTGTGTTCCTTCCCATGGGCTAGTCAGGACTTTCTCACAGCCCTGGAACAAGCAAGCCTGAACACTACTGACTCAAAACAGACTTCAGATTCAAATGGGAAACTGAGTCACTGTGGGCTCCCACAATTCCTATTTTTTTAATATTTGAGTTGAAGCAGTAGTAGTCTAGATTGTATATCCTTTTTTTATTGATTACATAGGCTGATTTTCCATTAGATGAGCCATTAGTAAAAATCAAAGCAGCATCTTTTATTGGAATTTCTATTATTATTTTAGGAAAATTTAAAGAATGATCCATGCAAAGTGTAATAATTTACCAGCAGGAAAATGATTATCAATTTGACCTAAAACTTGAACAAAAGCAATTGCTCAAGAATCATTATTTTGAAATAGCCAATCAATTTGTTGTTGAGTGAATGGCATATTAATAATCTCAGGCTCTTTGCCAAAATATTTTTTAGATTTAATTTGACTCTTT